AAATGCAAATATGCAGGCCCTGCCCCAGACCTACTGATTTAGAAGCTGTTTTTAAGGATTTATTTGTTTGACTCTCTCTGACTCTCCCTTCTCTGTCACTCTACCTTTCAAATCAATAAATCTTTTTTAAAAAGTTGGAAATTTTAGGGGACCGGCTCTGTGGCATAGCAGGTGAAGCCAACGTCTGCAGTGCTGGCATCCCACATGGGCAAAGGTTGAGTACCGGCTGCTGCACTTCTGATCCAGCTCTCTGCTGTGGCTTGGGAAAGCAGTAGAAGATATCCTTGGGCCCCTGCGCCCACGTGAGAGACCTGGAGGAGGCTCCTGGCTCCTGGCTTCGGATTGGTGCAGCTCCAGCTGATGTGGCCAACTGGGGAGTGAACCAGCAGATGGAAGACCTCTCTCTCTCTGCCTCTCCTCTCTCTGTGTAACTCTGACTTTCAAACAGAATAATAATTAAAAAAAAAAAAGTTAGACATTTTAAAACCTCTTGAAGGATTTTTCCATGTGCTTTTCATTCTTCATGTTTCTTTTTAAATAGCTAACAATATCTTTAAAATATTTATTTAGCTATGACTCTATGACTGGGCTCTCAATACAGATGATTTTGCCCCTAGTGGAAGTTAGCAATGTCTGAAGATATTTTTGGTTGTCACCACTGTTTTTTTTTTTTTTTTTAAGATTTATTTATTTGAAAGTCAGAGTTACACAGAGAAGGAGAGGCAGAGAGAGAGAGAGAGAGAGAGAGAAAGAAAGAGAGAGAGGTGTTTTCCATCCGCTGGTTCACTCCCCAAATGGCCGCAACTGCCAGAGCTATGCCGAGCTGAAGCCAGGAGCTAGGAGCTTCTTCCAGGTCTCCCACGTGGGTGCAGGGGCCCAAGGACTTGGGCCATCTTCTACTGCTTTTCCCAGGCCATGAACCGGGGCCCACAGCTGGGACTCAAACTGGCACCCATATGGGATGCTGGCACTGCATAGTGGCTTTACCCACTATGTCACAGTGCCGGCTCTAATTTTTTAACTTTTAAAAACGTGTTTGTGGGGCCAGAGCTGTGGCGCAGCAGGTGGGTTAACATCCTGGCTTGAGGCGTCAGCATCCCATATGGACAAAGGTTCAAGACCCTGTGGCTCCACTTCCAATCCAGCTCTCTGCTATGGCCTGGGAAAGCAGTGGAAGATGGCCCAAGTCCTTGGGCCTCTGCACCTGCATGGAAGACCCGGAAGAAGCTCCTGGCTCCTGGCTTCGGCTCGGCACAGCTCTAGCAGTTGCAGCCAATTGGGAAGTGAACCAGCAGATGGAAGACCTCTCTCTCTCTCTGCCTCTCCTCTCTCTAACACTGACTTTCAAATAAAATAAATAAATCTTTTTTTAAAAAAAGTATTTGTAGGCCGGCGCCGCGGCTCACTAGGCTAATCCTCCGCCTAGCGGCGCCGGCACACCGGGTTCTAGTCCCGGGCGGGGCGCCGCATTCTGTCCCAGTTGCCCCTCTTCCAGGCCAGCTCTCTGCTGTGGCCAGGAAGTGCAGTGGAGGATGGCCCAGGTGCTTGGGCCCTGCACCCCATGGGAGACCAGGAAAAGCACCTGGCTCCTGGCTCCTGCCATCGGATCAGCGCGGTGCGCCGGCCGCGGCGGCCATTGGAGGGTGAACCAACGGCAAAGGAAGACCTTTCTCTCTGTCTCTCTCTCTCACTGTCCACTCTGCCTGTCAAAAAAAAAAAAAAAAAAAAAAAAAGTATTTGTTTGCTAGGCAGAGAGGAAGGAGCCAGAAAGATGGAGAAAGAGAGCTCCCACCCAACAAACAGTTCACAGCTCCAGTGTCCATGATGTCTCTGGTTTGGGCCTGTGCTGACGGGGATGCCAGGACCCAGGAACTGGGTAGCCCCATCCAAGTCCCCGTGTGGACGCCAGGATCCAAGCACTTGAGCCATTACTGCTGCCCCTCATGGTCTGGGCCAGCAAGAGGCGAGTCAGGAACCGAGGGGTGCAGAACCAGCTACTCCGACACGGGACGCAGGCGTCCTGACTGCCAGGGAAAACGCCTGCCCTACTTTGAAAATGTTATCTGCTACTCAGTGTTTAGTGTCTTTTTGGAAACAGTAGGCAGCTTTGAACCCCTTAGGTCAGGGGTGGGGAACACTGGCCTGTGGGCCGTGTAAAGCCCCTAAGTCACTTGGTCTGGGCCTGCCGAGGGCACCGGGCGTAGGACTTGAAGTTCAATAGGTGTGTAGCAGGCACTTTTGAAAAAAAAAAGTATTTATTTATTTGAATGCAGAGACCCAGAGAGGAGGGAGAGAGAGAGAATGCATCTTCCATCTGTTGGTTCACTCCCCAAACGGCAGCAATGGGCAGGGGCTGGGTCACGCTGAAGCGGGGAGCCAGGAGCTCCAGCTGGGTCCCCGACGTGGGTGCAGGGGCCCAAGGACTTCCGCTGCTTTTAGCAGGGAGCTGGATGGGAAGTGGAGCAGCCGGGACTCGAACCCGCGCTCCCCGACAAGGACACACAGCTGGGCGCCAGGACAGACTCCCAGTTCCGGCAGGGACAGGCGCGTTCGGCCCAGGGGACGCCCTGCTACAGCCTTTCGGGCCAGATTCCTCCCGCGCTGAGCTGCTTCCTAAGACTTCCAAGTCGCGAGTTTGAGTTCGCCCAGGTGGCCGAGGGGGAGCGGAGCCCGGCGCCACCGTCCCTCCATGTGTCACTCCGAAAACACCTGCTGCAGGTCACTGGAGCCCCTCTCTCCTGCGCCAGGGGCGTCACGGACGCGCGCGCCGCTTCGCACAGAACCAGCATCAACAGGCGTCCACTCCTCGCGGCCGGTTTAGACGCCATCAATTAGGTCCGCGCGCCTCTCGCGCTCCGGAGAGGCAATGGCGGCGACAGCTTCCTAACGTACGCCCTTTGGATCGCCGGGGCTCGGAGACGCTGTTGTGCGGACGCCACGCAGCGCAGACGGGGGAGCCAGGGCCGCCACCGTGGGCACTGACCCCGGCCACCGCCCGGCGACACCCACCCGAGTCCGCGCGTGCGCAGGCGCACTGCCGTCCGCCCCGCGGTCTCTCCCGCCGTCTCCGGGGGCCTTCTCTCTGCCCGGCGCGGGGCTGTCCGCGGCGCTGCCTGACCGGGCGAGATCACGCCTGTGACTATAGGCTGCCCTCGCGCTGTCCTTCCCGGACGCTCTGCGGAGGCAGTGAAGGAGGGACGCATGGCGAGGGCGGCACAGGGGTGGGTCGTGGCTGAGAGGCGAGGCCTCGGCGGCGCCGCGGGGTTGGGCGGCAGGCGCAGCCGGGGGCGCCCGGGCGGGGTCCTCTCTCGCGGCAGGCTCCTGAGCGGGAGGCCCGAGCGGAGGAGCGTGTCGGCGGCGCGGCGCTATGGAGGAGCTGGATGGCGAGCCGACAGTCACTGTAAGGGAGCCCGGGACTGGCCTGCTTGCGCTCGCCGCCCCGGGACGGCGTCCGCTGGGTCATCTCAAGCTTGTCAGCGCGGCTCCCTGCCGGCCGCGCGGTGCCCAGCCCCTTCCTCGGCTCCGTTAGGAACTAGGGTGCAGCCGTGCTGTCGCCGTCCCACCCCTCTTTTTGTCTCCCTGACCCTACTGCCTTCGCATTTCCTCGTGGGCACGAGACTGGGCTCGGGCTGAGCAGAGGAGCTGGGGCTTCCCTGTTTGTCCTGAGTTTCTGCCTGCTAGTCAGTGCTAGCCCGAAGTTTAGTGAACGTATTTATTCTCTCGGGGACACTGTTTTTAACATCGCTGTGCGTTCAGTTCCGCTTGGACTCTCGAGTGTGTCAGGTGCGGATGATCGGCGGTAAAGCAGTTCCTGGGCTCTGCACAGGAGAAGCCCGCCGGTCTCGCGGCCCGCGATCTTTTCCTTGACAAGAGTCAGCCCGTGACGGGCTCGCAGAGTTCCGCGTGTCTGGGTACCCTTCAGTTCCACTCATTTTCACGAAAGGTTCTGGACCTATCCGGAGCGGAGCGACAGAGAGAGAGAGAGGTGTTCCGTGGCTGCAGCAGCCGGGTTCGGGCCAGGCGCGAGCCCGGGGCCAGAGCTCCATGCTGCTGTCCCGGAAGGGTAGCAGGGGCCCGAGCGTGCGGGCTGCGCTGGGAGGAGCCCAGGTTGGAACCCGGTTCTCAGATGTGGGCTGCGGCCTCCCAGGTGGCGGTGAAACCCGCTGTGGCCCTGCAGAGCACCCTGATGAGGGCCCTGCGTCTCGTCTGGAGTCTGTGCGTGTGGTCTTGGAAGCAGGCAGACTCCTACCGTGCTTGCTTCGGGTCTTACGCGTCTTGCTCTACTGTGTGGTTAATTTTCGAGTGCGTGTGGAACACTTGCCCTTTGCCGGCCTGCTCATCCGTCAAGATTTGGCTAATCCGACTCTCTCCCGTGTGTCTGTACCTTTGGCTTCTGTCTGCCTGCTGTTTATTGCTCTTTTTTTGGTTTGTTTGAAGATTTATTGATTCACTTGAAAGTCAGGGTTACACAGAGAGAGAAGGAGAGGCAGAGAGAGAGAGAGAGAGAGAGAGGTCTTCCATCCGCTGGTTCACTCCCCAGTGGCTGCAACAGCTGGAGCTGCGCTGGTCTGAAGCCAGGAGCCAGGAGCTTCCTCCGGGTCTCCCACGTGGGTGCAGGGGCCCAAGGACTTGGGCCATCTTCCACTGCTCTCCCAGGGGACAGCAGGGAGCTGGGTCGGACGTGGAGCATCCGGGACTCGAACTGGCGCCCATGTGGGATGCTGGCACTGCAGGCAGCGGCTTTACCTGCTAGGCCACAGCGCCGCCCCCTATTGCTCTTCTTGTAAACTGCCCGCATTTGGAGGGGAGAGGCTTTTTCACATTGTGTTCTTAGAGCCCAGCATTGCTTAGTTGTTCAGGGATTGCGTTAGGTCTTCCTGAGGCCCGAACTCGCTTGTCTTGAGACTAGGCCGTCGCTAGCCGAGTTCTGTGCGGCAGGGTCTCTGTAGGCAGTGCGTGAAGATCCTAAAGCCCCTGCCCTTGTGAGCGCCGTCTGTTTACAGGGCAAGTGATGGCCATGTGAGAGGATCACTCAGGGACTGAGAAGTGTCGTTCAGGGAGAGTTGCTGGTAGCCTCAGTTGGGCTGTAGACGTGGTGATCAGACTCGGGCTCCTGTCAGGGGCGGCCAGGACTTACCGCTGGGTCAGACACAGGTGGGAGGGCCGGAGCCGGAGCTGGGGTCACTCCTGCCGGCTGGAGACTGGGTGAGGTTTGGAGGTAAGGGTGAGGTTTGGAGGTAAGGGTGAGCCTCAGGGTTTCCCTCCTGGCTGCTGATCTGGGTTAGCTTGTAAGTCGATTTGTGAAGCCGAGGCGCAAAGGGCTTGGTCTGTTTCGGGGATAATTGTCTGGAGGCGCCAGCATAGCTGTGCGCAGGAGTAACGATTGGAAGTTCCTGTTCTTCAGAATCAGTTCAATTACTTAAAGATTTTAGGGGCTTGGGGCCAGTGCTGTGGCACAGTGGGTTAAGCCTCTGTCTGCAAGGCCAGCATCCCATTTGGGCACCAGTTCAAATCCTGGCTGCTCCACTTCTGATCCAGCTCCCTGCTGATGCACCTGGGAAAGCAGCAGAAGGTGGCTCAAGCATCTGGGCCCGTGCACCCACGCGGGAAAAAGCTCTTGGCTTTGGCTGTTGCAGCCATTTGGAGAGTGAACTAGTGGATGGATGATCTCTCTGTCTCTGTCTCTCCCTCTCTATCTGTAACTCTGACTTTTCTTTTCCTCTCCTCTCCTTTTTTTCTTTTTAAGAGTTACACAGAGAAAGGAGAGGCAGAGAGAGAGAGGGAGTTCTTCCATCCGATGGTTCACTCCCCAAATGGCCACAGCACCTGGAGCTGAGCCGATCCGAAGCCAGGAGCTTCTTCCAGGTCTCCCACTTGGGTGCAGGGGCCCAAGGACTTGGGCCATCTTCCACTGCTTTCCCAGGCCATGGTAGAGAGCTGGATCGGAAGTGGAGCAGCCAGGACTCGAACCAGTGCCCATGTGGGATGCCGGCGCTTCAGGGCATTAACCTGCTGCATCACAGCGCCAGCCCCAACTCTGACTTTCAAATAAATATTTTTAAAAAAATTTGGGGGCTGGCATTGTGGCACAGCCTGTGACACCAGTGTCTCATGAGTGCCAGTGCAAGTCCTGGCTACTCTGCTTTCCATCCATCCTCTGCTGATGTGCCTGGGGAAGCAGCAGATGATGGCTGTGCCACCCACATTGGGAGACCCTAATGGAGTTTCAGGCTCTTGGCTTGACCTGGCCCAGCCCTGGCCATTGTGGCCATTTGGAGAGTGAACCAGGGCCTGCTGCCTGCAGTGGTGGCATCCCATGTAGGCACCAGTTCAAGTCCTGGCTGCTCCACTTCCCATCCAGCTCTCTGCTATGGCCTGGGAAAGCAGTAGAAGATGGCCCAAGTCCTTGGGCCCCTGCACCTGCGTGGAGACCCGGAAGAAACTCCTAGCTTGAGATTGGTGCAGCTCCAGCCGTTGGGGCATTCTGGAGAGTGAAGCAGCAGATGGAAAACTCTCTCTCTCTCTCTCTCTCTCTCTCTCTCTCCTTTCTCTCTCTGTGTATTCTTTTTTTTTTTTTTTTGACAGAGTGGACAGTGAGAGAGAGAGACAGAGAGAAAGGTCTTCCTTTGCCGTTGGTTCACCCTCCAATGGCCGCTGCGGCCGGCGCACTGCACTGATCTGAAGCTAGGAGCCAGGTGCTTCTCCTGGTCTCCCATGGGGTGCAGGGCCCAAGCACGTGGGCCATCCTCCACTGCACTCCCTGGCCACAGCAGAGGGCTGGCCTGGAAGAGGGGCAACTGGGACAGAATCCAGCGCCCCGACCGGGACTAGAACCTGGTGTGCTGGCGCCGGAGGCAGAGGATTAGCCTATTGAGCTACAGCGCCGGCCTGTACTCTGACTTTCTAATAAGTAAGTCTTTAAAAAAAAAAAAAAAAAAAAGAGTGAGCCAGCAGATTATGATCTGTCTTTGCTTCTCTCTTTGTAACTTTTTTTAAAAATATTTATTTATTTTATTTGAAAGTCAGTGTTACACAATGAGAGAAGGAGAGGCAGAGAGAGAGAGATGTGTCTTCCATCCGCTGGTTCACTCCCCATATGGCTGCCACGGCTGGAGCTACGCCAATCCGAAGCCAGGAGCCAGGAGCTGCCTCTGGGTCTCCCACGCGGTGCAGGGGCCCAAGGTCTTGGGCGTCTTCCACTGCCTTCCCAGGCCACAGCAGAGAGTGGAGCAGCCAGGCCTTGAACCGGTGCCTATGTGGGATGCCAGCACTGCAGGCGGCGGCACAGTGCCGGCCCCTGTAGCTCTTTTAAATGAGCAAGTCTGAAATATTTTTACCTTCCCTTGTTCTAAACTGTAGACCATTACAGTGTATGCACTGGTTAGGGTGCAACCTTTCTGCTCGTTGACACTTGAGAGATGGCGGCCTGGGTGAGGCGCCCACCAGGCTGCCTCGCATGTCCAGGTGCTGCTAGTGACGGAACAGAACGGGCCCATCTCAGATTAGCACTTCCTAACTCTCATGTCTGCTCATATCTGTGATTGTACTTGTAAGTCTTTGTAAATTTTTCTCTAATTTTTGTAGCAGCTTTATTTGTAATTGCCCGAAGTTGGAAGCAACAAAGATGTCTTTCAGTAAAGAGTGTCTGGTATAACCCGACAGTGGAATACCATTCCGTGCCAAAAGAAATGAACTATACGACGTGAGAAGACTTGGAGGAAGCGTAAATGCTTATTCCTAAGTGGGCCGGCATGTGGCTCTGCAGGTTAAGCTGTGCCTGCAAAGCGTGCATCCCAGCCCTGTCTGTTGTGGCCGACTGGGGGAGTGAACCAGTGGAAGGAAGATCTCTCTCTGTCTCTCCTCTTCTCTCTGTAACTTTGCCTTTTAAATAAATAAAAAATAAATCTTAAAAAAAAAAAAAAAGTCAGAACATCACACTGCTGAGTGAAAGGAGCCGATCTGAAAAGGCATCTGTGGTATGAGTCTGACATTCCGGGAGAGGAGGGCTGTGGAGACAGATAAAAGATCTTTGCTGGGACTTCAAAGTCATTTAGAAAATATATTTATTTGAAAGGCAGAATTCCAGAGAGGGAGAGACTCATCTTCCATCTGCTGACTCACTCCCCAGAGCCAAGAGCCAGGAACTCCAGGCAGGTCTCCCATGTGGGTGTCAGGGGCTCAAGTACCTGGGCCATCGTCTGCCACCTCCCAGGTACGTTAGCATGAAGCTGGATCGGAAGGAGTTGGGGTGGGGGCCGGCGATGTGGCCTAGCTTGTAAGACTGCCCCTGTGAGCCAGCATCGTATGTGGGCGCTGGTTCAGATCCCGGCTGCTCCACTTGCGATCCAGCTCCCTGCTAATGTGCCTGGGAAGGCAGCAGACGATAATCTTAAGTTCTTGGGCCCCTGCACTCATGTAGGAGACCCTGAAGAAGCTCCTGGCTTCCATCTGGCCTAGTCCTAGCCCTTGAGGCCATCTAGGGAGTGAACCAGCAGATAGATCTCTCTCTCTGGAAGTCTGCCTTTCAAATAAAAAATAAGCCTTAAAAAAAATATATGAGGTGGGACTTGATCCTAGGCACTCCTTAGGCTTCCTAAGAAGCAGCTTGATCCCATGTCCACCAACAAACACCAGCCCCTGCTTATAAGTCATTTGAAAAGCAAAGGGGCCGGTGCTGTGGTGCAGCGGGTTAATGCCCTGGCCTGAAGCGCCAGCATCCCCTATGGGTGCCGATTCTAGTCCCGGCTGCTGCACTTCTGATCCAGCTCTCTGCTGTGGCCTGGGAGTGCAGTGGAAGATGGCCCAAGTCCTTGGGCCCCTGCACCTGTGTGGGAGACCCGGAAGAAGCTCCTGGCTCCTGGCTTCAGGTCGGCTTAGCTCTGGCCATTGTAGCCATTGTAGCCTCTCTCTGTCTCTACCTCTCTCTGTAACTCTGCCTTTCAAATAAATAAAAATAAATTTTGAAAAAAGTAAAGCCTTCAGGGTGAGTAACAATTTTCTCATCCTGTTTTTTGATAGTTCGTTCCAGGTGTGAATTCTAAGAAGAAACAAATGTGTTTTGACTGGGGTCCGGGGGAGTTGCTGGTATGTGAAACCTCCTTCAACAATAAAGGTAGGCATTTGTTCTGTTTCTGGGTCCAGATTGTTTACCTTGGCATACTTGTTCATTTTCTATCCCCCTCCTTTTAACAAAAGATTATTTATTTGTTATTTGAAAGGCAGAGTTAGAGAGAGGAGAGGTCTTCCATCCGCGGGTTCACTCACCAGATGCCCACAACAGCCGGAGCCGGGCCAATCCGAAGCCAGGAGCTTCCTTCAGATCTGCTACCCGGGTGCAGGGGCCCAGGCACTTGGCCATTTTCCACTGCTTTCCCAGGCAATAGCAGAGAGCTAGATCAGAAGAGGAGCAGCCAGGACATGAACTGGTACCCATGTGGGATGCCAGCACTGCACACAGAGGCTTAAGCCTACTGTGCCATAGCGCTGGCCCCAATAAATAAATCTTAAAGCCGCTTGGAATGCCCACATTCACTAACAGAGTGTCTAGGTTTGCGTCCTGGTCCTGCTGCTGATCCAGCTTTTTACTAATCCGCACTGTGGGAGCCAGCAGGTGATGCTTCAAGTATTTGGGTCCTTACCACCCCTGTGGGAAACTAGGATTGAGTTCCAGACTCCTGGCTTCTCCCTGGCCAAGGAGGGAGCCAGCACATGGAAGATTTCTCTGTCTCTCTGCCTCTCAAGTAAAGAAATAAAATGTAAAAAAACACACACACACAAAAAAAAAAAAGGAAAAGAAGGGAGGGCTTAGCCTAGTGATTAACGCGGTAGTTAGATGCTCACATCCCATGTCATGGTGTGTGTGTTTGATTCTCAGCTCCAGTTCCTCGCTGATGTCTGGCTAATGCAGACCCTTGGAGTTGGCACAAGATGGTTCAGATGGTTGGGTTCCGGCCGCTCACAAGGGAGATCTGGAGTGAGCCTCTGGCTTTGGGCCTGGCCGCCGAGCGGGGTGTGGACCAGCAGAGGGGAGTGCGCTTGTGCGCATGCTCTCCGAGTTTCCCTTCTTCTGTTTCGGTCTCGAAATAGATAAATTTTTAAAAAGATTTCCTTTATGTTAATAAGCCCTGCTGTCTTTGCCTTTTTCTTGTGCAGTGACCAGATTCCTTTCGTAGTTTCTCCCGCATTGTGGAGCTCTGCAGTCCCAGCGTGAGCGGAACGGTGCTTCTGTCCCAGATGGGGCTGGAGAGTGACAAGGCATCCTTGGCTTGGGCTGCGCCACGTCAGCTGTTGGCCATGGCTCTTCCCCTCCCCCAGTCCAGGCTCCAGTAGCAGGATGACACCGAAATCTTGACATTAGATTTGTTTTCTCCTTTCAAGAGAAAAATCTCAAGAAATGAAGAGATTTTCTTTCTTTCTTTCCTTTTTTTTTTTTTTTTTTTTTTTGATAGAGTGGACAGAGAGAGAGAGAGAGAGAGAAAGGTCTTCCTTTTGCCATTGGTTCGCCCTCCAATTGCCGCCGTGGCCGGCGCATCACGCTGATCCAATGGCAGGAGCCAGGTGCTTCTCCTGGTCTCCCATGGGGTGCAGGGCCCAAGCTTGGGCCATCCTCCACTGCACTCCCTGGCCACAGCAGAGAGCTGGCCTGGAAGAGGGGCAATCGGGACAGAATCTGGCGCCCCGACCGGGACTAGAACCCGGTGTGCCAGCGCCACAAGGTGGAGGATTAGCCTAGTGAGCCACAGCGCCGGCCGAAATGCAGAGGTTTTCTTACAAATCATCCAAGTATGAGTTTCTTCTTTATAAAGATATGATTAAATTACTGAAAGGCTTATAATTTTGTCCCATTTTGTGGTGTGCAGTTGATGTACTTTTTTTCAAAAGATTTGTTTGAAAGAGCAACAGGGAAGTGGGAGAGACACTGCACATGTGCCAGTGAGTGCGCGTTCCCACCTGCTGGTTACGCCCCAGATGCCTACAGTGGCTGGACTGGACTGGACCAAAACTGGAGGCCAAGAACTCAATCCGTATCTCCCACGAGGAGAACCCCGTTATGTGAGCCCTCACTGCTGGCCCTCAGGGTTTGTGTTAGCAAGCAGCCAGCGTTAGGAGCTGGAGCTGGGGACAGAACCCAAGAACTCCCATGTGGGACTGCTTTATCTTTTCTTTGTTTGGAATATATAAGAAATTTCCACAAGTTTTTCGTTTATAGCTTATTATAAAACCTTTTCCTTGTTATTTTTGGAAAATTTCATCAAATTTCTTTGTTTTCGGGAAATAGTATAAAGTAACAAGTGATTTTGCAGTAATTTAAATTTTTTTTAATTAATTTATTTTATTTGAAAGTCAGAGTTACACATATAAGGAGAGGCAGAGAGAGAGGTCTTCCACCCACTGGTTCACTCCCTAATTGGCCACAATGGTCAGAGCTGCACCGATCCAAAGTCAGGAGCTTCTTCCAGGTCTCCCACGTGGGTGCAGGGGCCCAAGGACTTGGGCCATCTTCTGCTGCTTTCCCGGGCCATAGCAGAGAGCTGGATGGGAAGTGGAGCAGCCAGGAATTGAACCGGCGCCCATATGGGATGCTGGCACTGCAGGTGGTGGGTTTACCTGCTACGCCACAGCACTGGCCCCTTAGATTTTTTTTTTTTACTGTGTTTTGCATAGAGTGACATTAAGTGTGCTTGTTGTTTCTTAGTATCTCAGTTGATGGAGACAAAAAATAGTTCCAAAATGTGCCAGTGAATTGAGAAGTAAAATCTGAAAATAAATATTTGTGTTTAAAAATTAACATGTGGGCATGGGGCCGATGCTGTGGCATAGCTGGTAAAGCCACAGCCTGCAGTGCTGGCATCCCATATGGGTACTGGTTTGAGTTTCTGCTGTTCCCCTTCCAGTCCAGCTCCCTGCTGATGTGCCTGGGAAAGCACTAGAAGATGGTCCAGGTCCTTGGGCCTCTTCAACCACGTGGGAGACCTGGAGGGAGCTCCCGGGTCTTGGTTTCAGATAGGCCCAGCTTCAGCCATTGCAGTCTTTTGGGGGAATGAACCAGAGGATGAAAGACCTCTCTGCCTCTCTGTAACTCTGCCTTTCAGATAAATAAATGTTTTTTTTTTAATAAATGTATCGGCAGGCATTCAGCCTAGCAGTTGAGGTACTGGTTAGGATGCCTGCATTCCATATCAGAGTGCATGGGTTCAAGTCTCAACTCTGGCTCTTGACTCCAGCTTCTGATAGTGTGGATTCTGGGAGACAGCAGTGAGGACCCAGTTAATTGAGTTCCTGCTGTTTATCTGGAAGACCTCGGTTGAGTTCCTGGCTCCTGGCTTTGGCCTGGCCCAGCCCCAGCTGTTGTGGGTGTTTGGAGAGTGAGCCAGGGAATCGGAGTTCTCACTGCTCTTTGTTTCTGTTTCTCTGCCTCTCAGATAAGAAAGAGGCACTGGGCAGGCACTGGGCAGGCATTGGGCAGCCGTGAAGACGCTGATCTCAGCTGTGGCCTGGCCTAACTCTGCCTGTTGTAGGCATTTGGGAAGTGAAACAATGGAGCGAGCTCTCTGCCTCTCAAATAAGCAAATAAAATTTGTAAAAAATTCACGTATGGTCAACGTATGATAATCCATTTTTTAATTTATATTTTTGAAAGTTATTTTTTATTTTTGTTTGGGAGTCAAAAAAAGGGAGAGACAGGTAGAGAAATGTTTTCTGTCTGCTGGTTCACTCCCCAAATACCCACAACAGCTAGGGCAAGGCCAGCAGAAACCAGGAGCCTGGAACTCAGTCTCCCATGGGGACGGCAGGGGCTCAGGTGCTTAAACTACCTTAACCTGTCGTTTGCTCTCCCTTCCAGGACACATTAGCAAGAAGCTGTATTGGGAGCAGAGCAGCTAGAACTCAAATCAGCAATTTGTTTACTTTTTATTTATTTTTAAAAGATTTATTTAGTTGAAAGGTAGAGTTATACAGGGAGAGAGGTAGAGAACTTCCATCCACTGGTTCGCTTCCCAAATGGCTGCAGGGGTCAGGGGTGGGCCAGGCTGAAGCCAGGAGCCAAGAGCTTCATCTAGGTCTCACACATGGGTGCGAGGGGTCCAAGCACTTGGGCCATCTTCCACTGCTTCCCCCGGCACATTAGCATGGAGTGGGATCAGAAGTGGAGTAACGGATTAGAACTGGCAACCATATGGGGTGCTGGTGTTGTGGGCGACGGCTTAACCCACGACACCAACAGTGCCGGCCCCTCGCCAGCCACCAGCACTTTGCAGGATGTGTGTCACAAGTGGTAGCTTATCCTGCTGTGCCACAGCACCCGCGTTGCATTGCTTTACTTTTTGTAAGTCAGTGGTGAGGAAGCCAAAGCTTTTGTATTTAGACCGTTCGGATTTTCAGAGTGGATTCTCTCAGGGTGATGATGAGAGATGTTAAATCTTTTTTTCTGTTTAATTTCAGGAAAATCGGAGATGGTGCCATGCTGCCCCTTTATCTATATCATCCGGAAGGATGTAGGCGTGTACTCTCAGATCTTGAGAAAACTCTTCAATGAATCCCATGGAATCTTCGTGGGCCTCCAAAGAATTGAGGAAGAATTCACGGGAAAGTCCAGAAAAGCTCAGTGAGTCGCTGCTGATAGGTGCCTGAGTCCACAGCCACGTTGTGAACAGCCAGATGGAGTGTGCCCTTGTCCTGTGGTGCCTGGGCAGTCACCTGGGGAAGTAAGCGGCTCCTGGCTCTGGCGGTGGCCTGCACGTTGCCCAGCAGGCGCATTCTGGAGGGAGTGTGCACCTGCTGTGGATTCACTGGCTGGCTGCCTGAGCTTTACGTGTAGTACGTGTATGTTCTACTTCATTATGCAGAGAAGTGAAGTTGGCCCAGATTAGCTCCTGAGCGTCACTGAGCGAGGCCCTATGGTTGGGGGATTCGGAAATCAGCAAAACAGTGCGAGTTCTGTTTGGTCCTTGAGGAATCACTTTTGGGCTCCTTTACTCCCGATCTCTCTCTCTCTCCGTCTCCCGATCTCTCTCTCTCTCTCTCCGTCTCCCGATCTCTCTCTCTCTCCGTCTCCCGATCTCTCTCTCTCCGTCTCCCGATCTCTCTCTCTCTCCGTCTCCCGATCTCTCTCTTTCACTCCGTCTCCCAAGCTCTCTCTCTCTCTCTCCGTCTCCCGATCTCGCTCTCTCTCTCCGTCTCCCAAGCTCTCTCTCTCCGTCTCTTGATCTTTCTCGCTCTGTCGCTCTCTCTTATCCTCTCCTTCTCCCTCTTTTTTCTTCTTTGCCCCTTCCCTCCCATCTACTGGGTTTCCCCCAGTAAACCTTTCCCTTACCCTGGTGTTCGATCTGTCTTGTGGTGGGCTTACATTGGTGCCGTGACTCAAATCCAGGCTCCCTCAGTGATTCTGTTCTCACTTCGGGGATCTCTGAGCTGCCCTGGGGTCCTGGATTTCTGCCAGTCACAAAGCACAGCCCCAGAACTCCTTCCACGCCACCGAAAGCTTCGTGATCCCCATCCACACACTGGCCTTCCAAATTCTGAATGTTTACAGGAGGGGATAATGGAACGAACCAAGGCCTTCACCAACCAGGTGGTCAGCCAAATGCTGCTACAGGGGTATACTCAGCTCCCCACCCAGGAGTCAGTGGCTTCAGACAACGCCCATGACAGCAGAGAGTACCTCGTTACCCCGTGTCAACAGGAGGTAGCTCTAAAGACAGATCATCGTCCCTCTACTCCTGGACTTTTGGGGTTAACGTAATCCCATACAACTCTTGGTTTGTAAAAAACAAAAGGGGGGAATGTTAGTAAAATGGCGCAGTCTTATCTGTGGCACAGTCTATGCCCCGGACATATTTTGAACTAATTTTAGACTTACAGAAGAGTTAGAAAAATAGTGTATGTCTCCCACCTGGCTTCCCTAATATCAGTATCTTAGAAAACTGTATTTACTGTTATTAAAACCAGTTAACACTGACGACTAACTGAAGACCTTACTTGAATTTCCCCGATTTTTGCACTAATGTCTTTTTTTCCTTCTGCAGCTGAATGAGGTTGCACTTGGTTCTTTTGCTTAGTCTCCCCATGACCACTACACTTTGGCAGAGCACTGTCTGCTTTATGGGGTGTCCCTCAGCCTGAGTTTGTCAGCTGTTCTCTCGTAACTGGACAAAGACCATGCACTTACTAGCAAGGACACTGCAGAAGTTGCGATTGTGCATAAGGCTCCTGGTGTCGACATTCGGTTACTGGTGGTGTTTACCTTGGTTACTGCGTTGTCTGCTGTTTCTGCTGGGTAGACCACCGTTAGCTGGGAACTCTCTGCTTTTTTTTTTAAGATTTGTTTTTATTTATATGAAGGAAAGAGGTAGAGAGAGAGGTAGAGAGAGAGGGAGATCTTCCACCTGCTGGTTCTCTCCCCAAATGACTGCTCCCTAAGTGGGTGTTGGTGCGGGTGCCTGAGGATTTGGGCCATCCTCTGCTGCTTTCCCAGGTGCATTAGCAGGGAGCTGGATAGGAAGTGGAGCAGCTGGGACTTGTACTGGTGCCGGTGGGGCAGGCTGGGGCTTTAACCTGCCGTGCCAGAGCACCAACCACCGCCCCCACCTTTTCTTTCCCTTTCCCTCCCCCTTTCCCTTCCCCTCTCCGTTTTGTTAAATATTTATTTATTTGTTGGAAAGGCAGGGTTAGAGAAGGAAAGACAGAGAGAGAGATCTTCAATTTGCTGGTTCACTTCCCAAAAAGCTATAACAGCTGGAGCTGAGCTGACCTGAAGTCAGGAGCTAGGAGGTGCTTCTGGGTCTCCCACATGGGTGCAGGGCCCAGATACTTGGGCCATCCTCCGCTACTTTCCCAGGAGCATCAGCAGGGAGCTGGATCAGAAGTGAAGCAGCTGGGATTGAACTGGTGCCCACATGGGATGCAGGCGCTGCAGCTGACAGCTTTACCTGCTATGCCACAGTGCCAGCCCTGCTTTGACACCTGAAATCCTGTTTCTTCTTACATTTTCACCCACTCATTTTAGTATCTGTCGGTGGATCTGATCTGCAACAACTGATATCAGTATGGAGTCTTGGGCTTTTTTTTTTTTTTTAATATATACCATGATTTATGTTATATTTTACTTGTTTTGTTACTCAAGTTGTTCTAGCTCTGCAGTATCTGGAGCTCCTTCAGGTTGGCTCCTGTGATCTGTAAATTCCTTTTTTTTGAGCCCTTCCTTACTTTCTGGCTCCACAGATGTTCCAGGCTCATCTTCTATCTGCTTCATTTTTGTAGGCTGGTTCGTGTGAGTAAAAACTACCGTTCAGTCATCAGAGCGTGTATGGAGGAAATGCACCAGACGACAAGTAAGGAGGGGGTAGTGTTTTGCCCTTTTTTTTTTTTTTAAGATTTATTTATTATTTGAAAGGGAGAGTTCCAGAGAGGCAAAACCAGAGAGAGGGGGAGGTTTTCCATCTGTTGGTTCACTCCCCAAATGGCTGCAGTGGCCGGAGCTGGGCTAATTCAATCTGAAGCCAAGAGCCAGGAGTTCCTCTGGGTCTCCCATGCGAGTGCAGGGGCCCAAGCACTTGGGCCATCTTCCACTGCTTTCCCAGGCCACAGCAGAGAGCTGGATCAGAAGTGGAGAAGCCAGGATTCAAACTGGGACCCAGATGATGGTGGCTTTACCTGCTGTGCCACAGTGCTGGCCCCTTGTTTTTTGTTTGTTTTTGTTAAATATTTATTTATTTGAAAGGCAGAGAGGGAAAGAGGGCATGAAAAAACAGATCCTCTGTCTGCGGATTTACGCCTCAAGTGCTCACAACTTCTGAGGGTGAAGTCAGTAGCCAGGAATTCCATCCAGGTCTCCTACAAGGGTGTCAGGAACTCCAGTACCTGAGCCACATCCAATGCTTCCAGGCACGTGGGCAGGGAGCCGGATTGGACGCAGAGTAGCTGGCGCTTGAACTGTCACTGATGTGGGACGCAGGAGTCCCAAGTGTGCTTCACCCGCTGCTCCTTGACACCCATCCTACAAGCTGTTTTTAGTTCCACTTATTTGAAAGATACAGTGACAAGGAAGACAGAGATCTTCCATCTATTAGTTTACTTCCTAAATGCCTCCAACAGCTGGGCATGTGCCAGGCACAAATCAGGAGCCTGGAACTCCATCTGTGTCTCCCATGGGTCACAGGAACCCACGTACTCGGGCCATCCTCTCCCTCCCAGACCCATTAGCAGGAAGCTGGATCAGAAATGTGGAGTGGCTAGGTCTTGAACCAGGCACTCGGATGTGGGATGTGGGCATCCCAAGTAGTGGCTTAATCCCCTGTGCCACCGCAGTTGCCCCTGTGTGGGCGTGTGTGAAGCATGTGTCTGACTGTAAGTACTACAAGGCAGGGCTGGCATTGTGGCACAGCTCATTGACGTTGATCGTTTGAAGTCCCCGTAACTGTGATTCCCGGAGCCTGCTGGAACCTTGCGTAATGTGGCAGAATCTTTGTTAGAGACCTGTTTCAGGTGGGTGCATTGAAACTGAAATGTTGCTTGTAACTGAGGGCCTTGGCTTACGAATCACTGATGTACGACCAAGGAATATGAAACATTAAAGCTGTAGTGGGGGCACAGTTGTGGGCGTGGCGGGTTATGCTGCTTCTGGCATCCCGTACTGGAGCACTGGTTTGAGTCCCAGATGTCCGCTTCCCATCTAGCTGCCTGCTGATACGCCCGAGAAGGCAGTGGAAGACGGCCCGAGTGCTTGGATTCCTGCCAAGCACATGGGAGACCGGATGGAATTCCTGGCTCCTGGCTTTGGCCTGGTCTAACCAGCAGATAGATGATCTGTTCCCTTGTCTGTCTGTAGCTCTGCCTTTCAAATAAATCAATCTTTGGAAAAAAGAGATCTCTAGTTAAAATGGGTGATCCTTAACAGCACCAGGTATAGAACTGATATGGGAAGCTGCGAGAAGAAGACTAAACGTTCCTCACTTAAAATGTCTCATGTTTTGTAGTTGCTGCTAACGATCCAGCCAGCGGCCGCCAGTTCAGCAGCCAGGTAAGGGGGCTGCCTTTGTGGTACTGGCCCTGTGTGTCCATCAGCACCCTTGGCACCCACCCCAGGCCGGGATCCTATAGAACGTCCTCTCGTTTTTTAGATGTTGGAACACACAAGGATCTGCTTGATAAGTATGCTATAAGTTTTCAGTCCTGGAAAAGACGAACCTTAAGCGACTGTGCTGATGAGGTAGTTGTCCCTGACTGGGGAGCTGTGCTCACGCTGCATGGCTCCTGCTGTGCCCTCCATGACTCAGCCTCGTGACTGAGCCGTGCTTTCATCGGAGCTGAAAGACGGCGTGCAGACCCTCCCTTGGTGGAATCTTGGTAGTTTTCAAACTCTGGTCAGTAGGGGATACACCGTCTTTGAAGTTGTCAGAGCGTGTATTTTCCCCTTATGAACAAGGCATGCTGGTGTCTGGACAGAGGGGTTGAGAGGAAGGGGATCCAGCAGATTCCTAAGGTCATGGTCCAGGTGAGATTTATTTTGGAATCTTGTATTGGGCTTTGCCTTGAATAGATTATTTCCTAAACTTCAGTTGGAATACCAACTTCACAATTCTGCCCTATAGAGTGGACAGTGAGAGAGACAGACAGAGAGAGAAAGATCTTCCTTTGCCGTTGGTTCACCCTCCAATGGCTGCCACGGCCGGCGCGCTGCGGCCGGCACACCACGCTGATCCAAAGCCAGGAGCCAGGTGCTTCTCCTGGTCTCCCATGGGGTTCAGGGCCCAAGCACTTGGGCCATCCTCCACTGCACTCCCAGGCCACAGCAGAGAGCTGGCCTGGAAGAGGGGCAACTGGGACAGAATCCGGCTCCCCAACCAGGACTAGAACCCGGTGTGCCGGCGCTGCAAGGCGGAGGATTAGCCTAGTGAGCCGCGGCGCCAGCCCATATTTCTTATTATTTATTAAGTATTTTCTTTTTTATTTTCATGAGTTTAGGAACTAAGCCTCTTTTATTTATTTATTTTAAAGATTTATTTATTTTAAAGAGTTACACAGAGAGAGGAGAGGCAGAAAGAGAGAGGTCTTCCATCCACTGGTTCACTCCCCAACTGGCCACAATGGCCAGAGCTGCGCTGATCTGAAGCCAGGAGCCAGGAGCTTTTTCCAGGTCTCCCATGCGGGTGGACGGGCTCAAGGACTTGGGCCATTTTCTACTGCTTTCCCAGGCCATAGCAGAGATCTGGATTGGAAGTGGGGCAGCCAGGACTAGAACGGTGCCCATATGGGATGCCAGCACTTCAGGCCAGGGTGTTAACCCACTGCGCCACGGCGCCGGCCCCTCACTTTCCAGCACTGGTGCAGAGGCTCTCGGCAGCTGGGGTCCTGAGCCGCGGGCGCCCATGCCCTCCACGTAGGTCCACCGTGTCTCTCTAATTGTGTAAGAGTTTCCTCTGCCGTTTTTTCCCTAACTCTTCCCTGAGACTACACTACACTATCTACACTTTTATCAAACTATCTTCTCCTGGACTAGATCAGTAACCTCCCTCCTTATTCTGCCATCTTGGAAGCACCCCCTGATTTATTTATTTATTTATTGACAGGCAGAGTGGACAGTGAGAGGGAGAGACAGAGAGAAAGGTCTTCCTTTTGCCATTGGTTCACCCTCCAATGGCCAGCGCGGCCAGCATGCTGCGGCTGGCGCACCGCGCTGATCCGAAGGCAGGAGCCAGGTGCTTATCCTGGTCTCCCATGGGGTGCAGGGCCCAAGCACCTGGGCCATCCTCCACTGCACTCCCTGGCCACAGCAGAGAGCTGGCCTGGAAGAGGGGCAACCGGGACAGAATCCGGCGCCCTGACCGGGACTAGAACCCGGTGTGCCGGCGCCGCAGGTGGAGGATTAGCCTAGTGAGCCGCAGCGCTGGCCCCCCTGATTTATTTTTAAATATTTGTTTTATGGAGGCCGGTGCTATGGCGCCGTGGGTTAAGACGCCATCTGCAGCGCCAGCATCCTCTATGGGCACCAGTTTGAGTCCCAGCTGCTCCACTGCTGATGAAGCTCCCTGCCTGTGCGCCTGAGAAAGCAGCAGAGGATGGCTCAGCATGCTTGGGCCCCTACACCTTGGGCCGACAACAGGTGAAGCTCCTGGCTTTGGCCTGGCCCAGCCCTGGCCGTTGCAGCCGTTTGGGGAGGGAACCAGCGGATGGAAGAGCTCTCCTTTCTCTGTCTCTCCCTCTCTCACTGCAACTCTGACTTTCAAATAAATAAAAATTTTTAAGGTTTGTTTATTTGTTTGAGAGGCAGAGTTATAGGGAGAGAGAGGGAGAGACAGAGAGAGATCTTCCATCCTCTGGTTCACTCCCCGAATGGCCATAACAGTCAAAGCTGGGCCGGTCAGTAGCCAGGAGCTTCTTCTGGGTCTCCCACGTAAGTATAGGGGCCCAAGCACTTGGGCCATCTTCCACTGCTTTTCCAGGACACAGCAGAAAGCTGGATTGGAACAGGAGCAGCCAGGACACAAACTGGCGCTCATGTGTGATGCCAGTGCTGCAGGCGGAGGATTAACCTACCCTACAGCACTAGCCACCCCCCCAAATAAATTTAAAAAAGTGACAAAATGGGATGGGTCAGTGCTGTGGCATAGCAAGTAAAGCCGCTGCCTGCGGTGCCAGCTGCTCTTCTTCCTATCCAACTCCCTGCTATGGCCTGGGAAAGCAGTGGAAGATGGCCCAGGTACTTGGGCCCCTGCAGCCACATGAGAGACTCGGAAGAAGCTCCTGGCTCCTGACTTCAGATTGGCCCAGCTCCAGTCGTAGCAGCTATTTGAGGAGTGAACCAGCAGATGGAAGACCTCTCTCTTTTTCTCTGTGTCTGCCTTTCTGTAACTGCCTTTCAAATGAATAAATAAATCTTAAAAAAAAAAAAAAAAACAGGCCGGTGCCATGGCTCAATAGGCTAATCTTCTGCCTGCAGTGCCGGCACCCCAGGTTCTAGTCCTGGTCGGGGCGCCGGAATCTGTCCCGGTTGCCCCTCTTCCAGTCCAGCTCTCTGCTGTGGCTCGGGAGTGCAGTGGAGGATGGCCCAAGTGCTTGGGCCTGCACCCCATAGGAGATCAGGATAAGTACCTGGCTCCTGGCTTTGGATCAGCGCGGTGTGCCTGCTGCAGCGCGCTGGCCTCAGAGACCATTGGAGGGTGAACCAACGGAAAAAGGAAGACCTTTCTCTCTGTCTCTCTCTCTCACTGTCCACTTTGCCTGTCAAAACAAACAAACAAACAAACAAAACGGGAGTCCCTGCCACAAGTAGCTTCCTTCAGGGGCTCACAGCCACCAGCCTCCTTGTTCTTACTTATTTTTTATTATTATTATTTGACAGGCAGAGTTAGAGAGACAGAGAGAAAGGTCTTCCTTCCGTTGGTTCACCCCACAAATGGCCACTATGGCCGGTGCACCACACTAATCTGAAGCCAGGAGCCAGGTGCTTCTCCTGGTCTCCCATGGGGTGCAGGGCCCAAGCACTTGGGCCATCCTCCACTGCACTCCCGGGCCACAGCAGAGAGCTGGCCTGGAAGAGGAGCAGCCGGGATAGAATCTGGCGCCCCAACTGGGACTAGAACCTGGAGTGCCGGCGCCGCAGGTGGAGGATTAGTCTAGTGAGCTGTGGCGCCAGCCTCTTTTTTTTTTTAAATGATTATTTTATGTATTTATTTTAAAGGCAGAGCAACTGAGAGGCAGGGGGAGAGAGACTGATTGATCTTCCATCTGTTGGTTCACTTCCTGAGTGGCCACAACAACCAGGATTCGGTCGGGCTGATGCCAGGAGTCAGGAACTCCATCCTGATTGCCCACTAGGGTGGGAGAGGCCCAAACACTTGAGCCATTTTTTGCTATCTCCCCAGGAGATAGTTGGAAGCTGGAAAGTGGAATAACTGGGACTTGAACTGGCATTGCAACTGACAGCTTACCCTACTGCACCACAGTGCCAGTCTTTGTTTATCTTAAGTATTTGAAAGGCAGACACACACACACCCCTTCCATCTGATGGTTCCCTCTTCAAATGTCTGCAACATCTAGGGCTGGGCCAGGCCAAGCCAGGATTTCAAAACTCAGTGTGGGTCTGCCATGTGGGTGACGGGGAACGAGCAGCTGCGGCATCACCTGCTGCTGCTGAATGTGTCTCTAGGCAGTAGCAGGAGGCTGAAATCCAAAGCAGAGCCAGAACTTGACCCCAGGCATTCTGATGTGAGATGCAGGTATCCCAAGTGGCGTCCTGACCTCCGTGCCAAGTGCTTAACCCTGTGTATCTTCTAAAAATTGTCTCTTCCCTCACCCTGAAAGCCCCTTCCTAAACCATAATTCTTGAAGATTACCAATGTGAGGGGCCAGTTAAGCTGCAGCCTGTGATGCCAGATCCCATAATGAGTGCTGGTTGAGTCCCGGCTGCTGCACTTCTGGTCCAGCTCCCTGCTAACGTGCCTGGGAGAAGCAGCAGAAGACGGCCCAAGTACTTGGGCCTCTGCACCCATGCAGGAGACCTGGATGAAGCTCTTGGCTTTGTCCTAGCCCATCCCTGGCTATTGTGGCCATTTGGGGAGTGAACCAGTGGAGGAAAGATCTCTCTGTAACTGCCTTTCAATTAAAAAAAAATTATTTATTTGATAAAAAGAGTTACAGAGAAGCAAAGGCAGAGGAAGAGAGATCTTGCATCCGTTGTTTCACTCCCCAGATGGCCGCAATGGGCTGAGCTGCACTGATCTGAAGCCAGGAGCTAGGAGCTTCCTCCCGATCTCCCATGTGGGTGCAGGGGCCCAAGGACTTGGGCCATCTTCTGCTTTCCTAGACCATAGCAGAGCTGGGTTGGAAGTGGAGCAGCCCCGACTGGAACCATCACCCATGTGGGATGTTGGCACTGTTACCTGCTATGCCACCGTGCCAGCCCCGAAATAAATAAATCTTTAGAAAAGATGATTATCAATGTGATATGCTAATGTGTGAAAAACATATGTATTACAACTTTGGGTAGTCATATTTTTAACATTTTTTGTTAATTTGGAAGGCACAGTTACAGGGAGGAGGAGAGAGAGAGAGCGAGCGAGTGAGCTTCCATCCCCTGTCTTAACTCCCCAAATGGCCACAGTGGCTGATGCTGGGCCATCTTTGGCTGCTTTCCCAGGCACATTAGCTGAGAGCTGAATTGGAGTGGAGCAGCCAGGTTTCGAACCAGTACCCATGTGAGATGCTGGTATTGCAGGTTGAGGCTTAACCTGCTATGTCAAAACACCAGCCCCCATATTTTTCTTAAATACATCACAACCATTAAAATAATGTTAGTCTGGGGGCTGGTGCTGTGGCGTAGTGGGTAAAGACACCGCCTACAGTGCCAGCATTCCATATGGGTGCCGGTTCGAGTCCTGGCTGCTCCACTTCTGATTCAGCTCTCTGCTATGTGCTGGGAAAGCAGTAGAAGATGGCCCAAGTGCTTGGGCCCCTGCACCCACGTGGGAGATCCGGAGGAAGCTCCTGGCTGCTGGCTTCAGATCGGCCCTTCTCTGGTCGTTTTGGCCAACTGGGGAGTGAACCAGCGGATGGAAGACCTCTGTCTTTCTCTCCACCTCTGACTTTCAAATAAATAAATAAATGTTTTTAAAAAGTAGTAATGTTAGTCTGTGTACTCCTTCCTAAAATCTTCGCACGGCTGCCCCTGGAAAGTCCTGCCGCTGGAGCACTGCAGTGGTGGGAGGAGCACGGCTGTCAGTGAGTCACGCCCGCTCTGTTTTGCTCTGCCAAAGTCGGGGCTGCGTTTCAGTGAAGCCGTCTCCATTTCTCCCGTAGGTCTCCATTCTCTCAGTAATGGAGCTCATTTGGAACTTGTGTGAGATTCTCTTCATCGAAGTCGCCCCAGGTGAGCATGGAATCTGCCCGGCTCGGCCTCAGAGGCGTCCCCGCCATCCTCCGCCCTCGTCCCCTTTCCTGGGTGTTGAGAATGTCTTGTCCCTGGTTTTCATCAACAGAACCCTCAAATTGTTAGAAACCACCTAGGGAGACCTGCCGTCTCATCAGGTAGTGTCAGAGAAACCAGACAGCATGCCTTCCGGAAACCCGGTAGTAGACAGATGCCGCCTTAAAAGTACTGGGAGCCAGCACTGGGCTCGTCTGTGACAGGCGTGGGCAGTGTTTATGTCATGGATGAAGCAAATTGGAAATTTTGGGGATGCAGGAGGGACTGGCTGGTGGGAGGAGGATTTGCTCGGTCAGTGGCTCATGATTGGCTTAGGGGAACCCTGTCACAGTTACTCTGGTGACCTTTTTTCTTTTTAGTGTTTTTTTTTATTTATTTGAAAGATAGGGTGTTGTGGGAGAGAAAGAGAGGTGTCTTTCACACGCTGGTTCACTCCCAAATGCCAGAAAAAGCTGGGTCGGGGCAGATTAAAGCCAGGGACCCGGCATTCCGTCCAGCTCTCCCACACGGGTGGCGGGGACCCGAGGACTTGCGCTGTCAGCAGCTGCCTCCCAGCTACTCTGTAACAAGAAGCTGGACTGGAGAGCAGACACAAGACCCAAACCCCGGCACTGACAAGGGAAGCAGAGGCCCAGCTGCTGTCCCGGATGCCCGCCCCAAGGCTCCTGTGTCTTGTCATCATCGCACACTCACCACCTTGTCAGGACCAGTCCCTGGGTGGCAGTACTTCATAGCCATAGAGTTCGTGATGGTCTGGGGGACAGGGTGGTGAGGTCTGGGGCCTTTGTTCACCCCTGTGCGGGGAAGCTGCCTGACCCAAAGGGAGGATTCCGTGCAAGTCTGTGCGGTTTCCCTAGGCCTGTCCTGTGGCCAGGACTGGGTGTGTGTCTGCTTAGGAGAATCAGCCGCCTTCCCTGAGGTCGCCTGTCTGCCTTCACTCCCCCTGCACCACAGTTTTCTGCGGGTGAGGCTGAGCTGTGTGTGATGCGTCTCTTCTAGCCGGCCCTCTCCTCCTCCTCCTGCTTGACTGGGTTCGACTCCACGTGTGCGAGGTGGATACTTTGTCGGCAGATGTGCTAGGCAGTGAGAATCCGAGCAAACACGAGGGCTTCTGGAAGTTGGTAAGCATCCCCGCAGGATGGGTCCCCTCCCTTCTGCCTTGGCTGTCATCGTCCCTGACGGTTAGCTGGCCAAACTCTGTCCTTTCTGGCTCCTTGCTGTGTGACTGTGGACACAGGCTTGGATCTTTTCTTTCCTGCTCCACGAGAGAGTTTAAACCTAAGTCTTTATGTGACAAAAGCAGTACTTGTGGACTTTGCAGGAGAAGGGGAATTTGATTTCCTTGTGTCTGAGAAGAGAAGATGTGATGGGAACTGAAGTCGGGGCTGGGGTTGTATGTAAACGAGCATGTCAATGGGTTTGGTGGTGGGAGTGCTGTAACACTGGATTGTGACGGCACACAACTCTAACCTCAGGGAAATGCCATGGATTATGTGCTTCAGTGCGAGAATTTTTATGACATAAGATACATAAACTTTTATGACGCTGTCAGAAGGATCGGGGTGATGTGGCACAGTGCGGGAAGCTGCTGCCGGTGATGCTGGCGTCCCCCGCGAGCACTGGTTTGAGGCCCAGCTTCTGATCTGCTCTTTGCTAGTGCTCCTGGGAAGGCAGCGGAAGAAGGCCCAAGTACTTGGGGCCCTGCCACACATGTGGGAGACCTGGTTTGAGTTTGTAGCTCCTGGCTTCAGCCTGGCCCAGCCCAGGCTGTTGTGGCCATTTGGGGATGGACGACTTGTCTGCCTGCCTCCTCTCTCTCTCTCTGCCTTTCAAATAAATAAATGAGTAAATAGCTTTTTAAAAGGTTGATAGTGCCAAAGTCATTTTGGATTGGTAATTTAAATTCAGTACATGCATGGGCAGTGGGGTGTGTGTGTGTGTGTGTGTGTGAGTGAGAGAGAGCAAGAGAATGTATGTGGTGTGTATGTGTTCTCTGTGCCTGTAAGAGCAACACTTGTTCCTGTTTTCTCTGCTGACCTCTGACCTGACTGGGAGGTGGCAGGGAGGAGGTTGACAGTTGACTGGAATAAATTCGTCCAGTCTGGAATTCGGGTAAGGAATTGCTGCCTTTTGGAATATTTCTGAGCGATTTGGCTCCAGGAGGTCTGTGCGGGTGAGGGAGTACCTTTGCCCAGCAAATACTGGCCTGAGATTTTTTTTTAAAGATGTATTTGTTTATTTCAAAGAGTTAGAGGGAAAGACAGAAATCTTCCTTGCACTGGTTCGTTTCCCAAGTGGCCACAACTCCCAGGGCTGGGCCAGGCCAGGCCAGAGCCAGGAGCTTTTTCCAGATCTCTCCATGAGTGGCAGGGCCCAAACACTTGGGCCATTTTCTGCTTTCCCAGAGCATTAGTAGGGAGCAGGACTGGAAGTGAAGCAGCTGGCCCTCAAACTGGCGCCCATATGAGACGCCCGCATTGCATTGCAGATGGTGGCTTTACCTGCTATGCCACAATACCGGTCCTTGTGCTAAGATATATATTTTTCAATTATATATTTGAGAGGCAGAGTTACAGATGGAGGGGAAGACAGAGAGAAAAGTCTTCCATCCGCTGGTTCACTCCCCAGGTGGCCGCAACAGCCAGAACTGGATCAGGCTGAATCCAGGGGCTCCCTCAGGGTCTCCCACGCGGGTGCAGGGGCCCAAGGACTTGGGTCATCTTCCACTGCTTTCCCAGGCCACAGCAGAGAGCTGGATTGGAAGAGGAGCAGCCGGGACTCGAACCAGCGCCCATGTGGGATTCTGGCGCTGCAGGCAGAGGCTCGTGCACTTGGCCACAGTGCTGGCCCCTGGGCTGAGATTTGTCTGTGGTTTAGCACCTACTGTTGAGTGCTGGGGCAGAAACGGACCAGAGCAGCTGTGTGCAGTGCGGCTGATAGCGAAGGGCTTAGAGAGAAATGAAGGCGAGCACGTGGGTTAGGGAGGCCTCCCTCGTGAGTGACAGGTGTGAAGGACAGCTGGGCTTAGGAAGGAAGCGCGTTCCTGTCGTGTGGCCGGCGACTGCTGTGTGCTAGAGGCTCGGTGAGAACCAGGGAGAGGGCAGTAAGGGCAGAGACGCCAGGCCGCCCCGAGGAGACCTTGGGCTGTTGCCGGGCCTTCAGAGGCCGTGTGCAGTGTGGCCAGCAACGTGCCCTGGGACGCCAGACTTCGTGCGTCGATTTCCTTGCCCTGCCTCGGGGGCTGCGCGGTCTTGGATGAGTGAGTCACAGTCTTGGTGTCCTTTCCAGGACATGGGGGAGAGCGCCAACCTCCTCAGGCTGCTGGGCTGGACGCATTTGCCGGGTCTGTGAGGGGTGGGGGCCGGCTTCACGTGTGAGGTGCAGAAGAGGTGCTGTTTCAGTCCAGTCGGGGAAGGAGGCATGGGGAGGGCAGCCGTGCAGCTCTGTAGTCCCACTGAGGGCCCGAGAGCTCTCCCAGCTGCCCTGTTGGGACAGAGCAAGGGCAGAGACAGACCACCTGGAGCTGTTGCACTAAGCCGGGCAATAGATGGTGACGTGGACAAGGGTCGGAGCTGAGCAGATGAGGTGGTGAGAAGTGACTTGGGTTTGAAGCGTTTATTTGGGGCCTGATACTGCGGCGTAGCTGGGAAAGCTGCCACCTGCAGTGCCAGCTTCCCCTGCTGACCTGGTTCCAGTCCTGCTCGCTCCGCACCTGATCCAGCTTGGGAAACGCAGGCAGTGCTGGGCCTGTCACCCTGTGGGAAACCTGGAAGAAGCTCCTGCTTCGTCCTGGCCCAGCCCGGGCTGTTGCGACCAGCTGGGCAGTGAACCAGGGGATGGATGATCTCTCTCTCTGTCTCTCTCTCTCTCTATGTCCTCTTTCAAATTGATAAATCTTCTAAAAAACAAAAACAAAAAAAAAACACCAAAATGTCTGTTTATTTGAAAGCCAGAGCAACAGAGGTCTCCCACCGCTGGTTTACAATAAAGAAATAAATAAAAAAAAAACTCAAATAAATATTTGTAACATATACAAAGTAAAGCAACATTTAAGATGTATTTATTTGAAAGGCAGAGTAACTGGAGGGGAGAGCGAGCATGCGCGTGCGAGCTCACGTCCGCTGGCTCACTTCCCTAATGCCTACAGCAGCTGGCGCTGGTCCAGACTGAGGATAGGAGCCCAGAACTGAATCGCTGTCCCACGTGGGTGGCAGGGGCCCAGGTGCTTGAGCCGTCTTCTGCCTTCCCAAAGGCATTGGGGAGCCGGATGGAAAGCAGAGTAGCCAAAGCCAGAGCCTGCCTCTCCATGGGTGTGGGTGTCCCAGAGCACACTGCAGCTGCGCCGGCCGGTTCTCCAGAGGCCGCGAGTACTGACTTGGCGGATTTTGTGCTGCTGCTCTCCGGGAATTCGGGGTTGGGTTCCTGTGAGCCTCTGCTCATTGTGTGTGTGTGTGTGTGTGTGTGTGTGTGCAACTTACATTTTTAAACATTTGAAAGGCAGAGTTACAGAGAGCTCTTCCATCTTCTGGTTCATTGTCCAGATGGCCACAACAGCCAGCGCTGGGCTGGGCTAAAGCCAAGAGCCCACTCCGGTGGGTCTCCCACGTGGGTGGCAGGGGGCAAGCACTTCTGCTTTCCCAGGTGCGTTAACATGGAGCTGGATTGGGAGTGGGGCAGCCAGGCCTCCAATTGGCTGTGCCCACAGGGGATGCCAGTGTCACAGGTGGTACTCAACCCACAGTACCAGAGCACTGGCCCCCCCTTCGTCATGCTGTCATCAGTCGATGAATCTGTAACCTTGTTTTATGTGTCTAGTGTAATGACAGCTTATTTAACAGCTGGATTCATTGACTTGAACTTGGGGCCAAAAGCACATGGCTGAGTGCAGCTGGGCTGACCCCTCGCAGCCTTTCTGCACCTGAGAACAGGCGGCCCTTCACTCCGCACTCAGGTGACAGAGCCTGGCACTGCGCTCCTCAGGCAGGCGCTCGGGCACAGTGAGGGCTGAACCTCAGCGGAGAGTGCGTCAGTGCTGCAAGTGGTTGGAGGTTCTGAGTAAGTCTGAGTGACAGGTCAGTTGACAAATACGGGATCTCAGTCTTGAGGCCCAACGACATGTAAGTGTGCGTAAACATGTATGAGCTGGAATGCTCGAGCCAGTGTTGATGCACTCTGGTACTCTGGTTTCTTACCTGCTTTCCAGAAGCTGTCACAGCCTGTTATGGGCTGCATCTGGGAGTTTGAAAGCCACGGCTGAGGGGTCAGACTGTGGGACTGGGTGGGGTTGCTCCTAGCGGATGGAGCCATTGCTCTTTGCGGGTGGAAACCCAAGTGTCGGTGGAGGCACTGCCCCTGCTGCAGCTCATGACCCGGGCTCCTTCCAGGTGACCGTCTTGGTGCTGCAGGGCCGGCTGGACGAGGCCCGGCAGGTGCTGTCCAAGGAAGCGGATGCCAACCCCCCCTCTGCAGGCATGTGCCGCGTGCTGGGGGACCTCATGAGGACGATGCCCATTCTCAGCGTACGTGGGAGCAGCGTGCGGCTGGGTCACGGGAGGCGGCCCGTGAAGCTCAGGTGGGTGGGACGACGTCTCACTCCGGTCTCTCCGCAGCCTGGCAACACGCAGACGCTGACGGAGCTGGAGCTGCGGTGGCAGCACTGGCATGAGGAGTGCGGGCGGCACCTCCAGGACGGCACGTTCGCCTCCAGCCCTCCCCTGGAGTCACTGTGCAAGGTCTGAAAGCAGTGGTCCAGGTCGGCTCCACTGGGCTTCCGGGGGGGGTGGGGGAGGAGCGTTGTCCTCCTTGGACAGGGTGAGGCTTCCAGGCCGCAGCTGAAAGGTGGTGCCCAGACGAGATGGGGGCCGCAGCGGCTGCCCCTGCAGCGAGTCCAGGAAGGCGGCGTCTGTCTCCAGGTCATGCTGGGGGACGAGGCCGCCCTGCTGGCGCACAAGGACCTGCTGAGTAACTGGTACCACTTCCTGGTGACTCGGCTGCTGTACTCCAATCCCACGGTGAAACCCATCGACCTGCACTTCTACGCCCAGGTGAGTGAGCTCGGAGGGCCGAGGGAGGGGCCGGAGTCCTGCCGGGTCATTCCCAGCCTGTGGCCTGGTTAAACTGACCCCCCCCTCCGGGGGCCAGGAAGCCCCTTTCCTTCCACACTGTTTGAACTCCTCACCCTTCTCCAGGGCTCCCTAGACAGCAGCCCTGCCTGTCCTGGGTCTCTGCTTCCATCCCAGGGATGGAGGGGTCAGTGCCCCTCCCCACTCCCTCTTCTCTCCTCCCCTCCCCCATTCCCCCTCTCCCTCTCCCCCTCCTCACTCCCTTTTATGTGAAGTGATGAGGTTGTATTGGGGATGGGGCATCCTCAGAGTGGAAGGGACAGAGTGCCCATCACTGGACTGGGGAGAGCGAGGTTCATGGTTGTCTGGGAGAATACACCTGGGCTGGCCAGCGGGCGGCTCCGCAGAGCTGAGAGCACCTCACTGCCTTTCACAGTCCAGCCTGGACCTGTTTCTGGGAGGGGAGAGCAGCCCGGAACCTCTGGACAACATCCTGATGGCCGCCTTTGAGTTTGACATCCACCAGGTGATCAAGGAGTGCAGGTGAGCCCCGCCCGGCGCCACTTCAGCTGCTGCTGCTGCTGCTGTTTGAAAAAAAAAGTTGATTGATTTACTCGGAAAGCAGTTAGAGCGCTTCTGTCTCTGGTTTCCTCCTCCCCAGTGGTTGTAAGGGCTGGGCTGGGCCAGGCCGAAGCCAGGAGCTTCTTCCCGGTTCCCCACACGGGTGCAGAGGTCCAAGCACTTGCGCCATCCTCAGTGCTTTCTGAGACCGTAGCAGGAGCTGGATCAGAAGGGGAGCAGCCGGGACTCAAAGTGGCACCCATAGGGGATGCCCGTGCTGCAGGCAGTGGCCGGCCCCAACTGGGTGCTTTATAAAGAACAGAAATGCATTTTCTCACAGTCCGGTAGCCAGGAAGTCCAAGATTCGTGTTTGTGTCCAGGTTGGGTGTTTGTGAGGGCTTCCAAGATAACGCCTTGCGTTCCATGTCCTGACGTAGAAGGGGAAGGGGCGAGGGGCCGAGCTTCCTCCCGCGAGCCCCTTTGTCAGGGAGCCTCACGCCCTTCAAGGGCGCCCTCATCACCCGACCCCCGCTCAGGGCTCCACCTCTGAGCACCATCATGTGGGCCCGCCTGACCTGGAGGGAACCATTCAAACCGTAGCACCTGCTGCCCGCCTCAGCGGATGCAAGGGGACAGCACCTGCCCTCTGGAGGAGCGTGGGGGCTTTGCTGAGGCACGAAGGCCATTGCGTTTATAACCATCTCCTCAGGAACCCTTATTAAAACTAACACCGCATGAAATGTTTTGATGTTTAAAATCCAGAAAAGGCCAGCGAGCCTATTCCTTGGTACCCAGTGGACAGCCGCCTTTGGGTCGTACCGCAGTGTCACTGGTGAGTGCAGGGCGGCCAGGCTGCTGGTCTTGTGCTGGAATCTGCAGGGTTTCCAGCCCGCTCCCTGTCCCGTCATTGCACTGACACTTGAGTGTGTCGGAAAGGGAATGTCAGACACGCAACAGAGGTAGGACCTTCCTGGACTGTCCACACATACGAAGGCAAAAACACGTGCCGTGGGGCCAGCGCTGTGGCGCGGTTCCTGTCTCGGAGCAGGCTGGGAGGCAGCACCTGCTCAGGAAGAGGCAGACTCCGAGCCCGGCAGCCAGCGTCTCGGACGCCTGGGCCGAGGGCTGCGAGCGCAACTCTTCCCCGGGGGTGATGCCCGATGCGGTGTCCCGTGGGGTTCGGGGGCCTCTGCTCCTCACGGGCGCTTTGCCGGCCCCGGACAGCGCGGGGCTTTCCCCTTCCCCAGGTCCTGTGCCCGGAGGCTTGCTCTGCCCACATCTGTTGTGTCTGAAACCCCAAATAGGCCTAGAGGAGCTGGTGGAACTTGCTCACTGCTGCAGCGGACGAGAGGTCTGGGAGGTTTTACTTAGAATTAGGGCGGGGATGCCCATAAAGTGGAATGTCAACATGTCTTTTTGTTATTCTCGTTTGCTGCACACACATGCTCCCATTCCTGCCATCAGCCATGTAAGCCTATGAAAATATTGACAGAAAACTACTCTGGCTTTCCCCAAGTTTACCACTATTTTCCTGAAGCCCTGGTTTCCTTTTTGCCAAAACAAGAGCTGGTGGCTGTAGGGAAGCGCTTACCACTGCCCAGCACTGCTTACAGTCTGGCGGAGCTCGGGAGCTCGACGCCTCGCCAGGTCATCGGCCACGCGCAGCTTTCTCTGCTGGCGCCTTTCTGCGCGGTGCCCGTCTCCAGGCGGCGTGAGCAGGAGGGCAGCTTTAGAGAGGGTTACGTGTTTGCTGAAATTATCTGTGATTCGCTCCCAAGATGGCCATGACGACCTGGGCCGGGCAGGCCGAAGCCAGGAGCTTTATCCGTTCTCCCCCGTGGGTGGAGGGCCATCCTCTGCTTTCCCAGACTTTGGCTTGGAGCCGGATGGGAAGTGGAGCAGCCAGGACAGGAGCTGGTGCCCACGTGCTGCGGCGGGCGTCACGGGTGGCCGCTGACCGCTGTCCTGCAGCACCGGCGCTAAAGCTTCCTCGTTCTGACACTGAAGCTGCTCTCAGAATCACAGGGCGTGTACGTGCAGATCCCGAATCTAACTGCTGGATCCAGAGTTGCTGGAGTCTGTACAGAGACCCTGGCACCGCTCAGCCGTGCCCAGCCTCGATCACTTGAGCCCCCACCGTTAGTGCTTGGTGGGAGTCTTCCTTCTGCTGGGTCCCTCCCCAAATGGCCGCAACGGCCTAGACTGGGTCAGGCCAAAGCGAGGAACCAAAAACTCGGGTCACCCATGTGGGGGACAGGGCCCAGGCACCTGAGCCGCCAGGGCTGCCCGTGAGAACGTGTTGGTGGAAGCTGGCTGGGAAGCAGCAAGCCGGCACTAGCACTAGCACTCCGGTGTGGGGTGCGCGTCGCAGGTGGCGGCGTGGCCTGCCCCTCACACTTCAGAGGGGACTGTGTGTGCTGTGACGCGGTGCCACCATCAAGCTGACAGCATAGTGAGCACCTTAGTTGCCTCTTGTATGCGTGTATGCCTCTTGTATGTATGTATGAGAACATTCCGGGCGGGTTTCGCGTGTACGGTGCGTTACGAGCTGTGGGCCTTGGCCAGCATCTCCTCCCTGCCACCCGCCAGCCCCCGGCAGCCCCCGGCCCACTCAGTGTGTGTAGAGTCTGCGCCTAAATGTGATCGCAGCGATCTTCAGTGTCTGGCTCATTTCACTTAGTGTAACGTCCTCCTGGTCCATGCAGGCTGTCACACGTGGCTAAGTGTCCACTGTGTACCCACACACCTGCACCTCATCCCTGCCAGCACAGCCATGTCCACTGTGAAGGATTTTTCCCCTTTACACACATGCCAAGGGGGACTGCGGGGGGACACGTGGTAATCTGGGGGTAGCTGGGCCTGTGTGGTAGTCTAAGGGTTGCTGGGGGACGTGGTAGTCTGGGGGTAGCTGGGCCTGTGTGGGTCTGACTGTTTGCCGTGAGGCCTCACCAGTGTGCACTGCCCGCAGCACACAGGCTCCCGGCTCCACACCCTCAGCAGCACCTGCTCTCGTAGTGGCCGTGCTGACAGGTGGGGGGGATAGCCCACCTGTGTTCCAAGGAGGGACGTGGGGTTCCTGCCCCGCCTCGCTCCTGTGGGACGTGGCCTCTCCTGACTTTGCCTCCTGCCTGGTCTCAATCTGCAGCATCGCCCTGAGCAACTGGTGGTTCGTGGCCCACCTGACAGACCTGCTGGACCACTGCCGACTGCTGCAGTCACACAACCTCTAGTGAGTGGCTTCAGGCCCTCGGGGTGGGCGGGCGGAGTGACCAGAAGGGAAGCCGGGCTGAGGAGGGGCCCTGCACGGAGCAGGCCCAGCGTCTTGTCTGTCACGGTCCGTTGCAGTTTCGGTTCTAACATGAGGGAGTTCCTCCTGCTGGAATACGCCTCGGGACTGTTTGCCCACCACAGGTAGGCGGCTGGTCTGGGTGCCGTGGGGCTCGGGGGTCGAGGAGGGGCAGCCCACCTCGGAGCCCCAGCTCTGTCCCCGGGACCTTGCAGCCTGTGGCAGCTGGGCGTGGATTACTTCGACTGCTGCCCCGAGCTGGGTCGAGCTTCCTTGGAACTGCACATCGAGCGCATCCCCCTCAACACCGAGCAGAAGGCCCTGAAGGTGCTGCGGGTCTGCGAGCAGCGGCAGATGACGGAGCAAGGTGAGCGGCCCCTCCTCAGCTGTGCGGTGGGTGAGCCCGACACGGCCCGGGGCAGGGAGCCTGGCTCGAGGGGGAAGGGGAAGTGGTGCGGCTGGAGAACGCAGGTGCGCAAGCCCCCTCCCGCCCCCGCCCTGAGCCCCTGTGTTCCAGACCCAAGGCAAGCTAGGATTTTAAGCATCTGGCGGGGCTGAGAGGGGGTGTGTGTGTAGGGGCAGGAATAAATCTGAAGCCACACCCCCTCAGCCACTCCTGCTGGGGTTTGTGTACCCTGCTCAGAGCCAAGACACCACTTTGCAGACCTCAGGTTTCTGGTTCTGATGACCCAGCCTTTGGGTTCTAGGGAGGCTTTGGGAAGGCCCCCTGTCCCCACGGGGCTCAGGCATGCGATGACAGAGTTCGCCTTTGCCCTCTCCCTGCAAAGTTCGCAGCATTTGTAAGATCTTGGCCATGAAAGCTGTTCGCAACAACCGCCTGGGCTCCGCCCTCTCTTGGAGCATCCGTGCCAGAGACGCTGCCTTCGCCACGCTTGTGTCAGACAGGTGGGTTCAGCAGGCGCCGGCGCCCCAGGGGCAGGCCGAGGCTGGGTCCAGCGCTCTGACCTCCCTGGGCTGGGCGCTGCAGGTTCCTCAGGGATTACTGTGAGCGGGGCTGCTTTTCGGATTTGGACCTCATTGACAACCTGGGGCCGGCCATGATGCTCAGTGACCGCCTGACGTTCCTGGGTAAGTTGCTCCGAGTTGGGGTGCAAGTGGACAGCTGGGAGAGCGGCGGGTGGTGCTGGACTTCCCCGCGGGCTCCTTCCTGTTACGCCTAAACTCCACGCCACACGGAGTCCTGCATGCCAGACTCTTCCAAAAATAGTACGAGGAATAAGGAGCCCCCATAATGTGTTACGCACGCTCAGTCCTCGGCGATTGGCCTCCTTTCTGTCAGTGCTGCAGTGTGGAGCCCTTGTTGATGGCAACACCTTCACGAAACCTAGGCTTTGCCCAGCGTTTTCTCATGGTCCATGTGTGGCGTCTGGGGCAGGAATCCCAGCAGAGTGCTGTCCCCTCACGGGTGGTGTTGCTAACCACTCGGGGAGCAGAGCTTGGGATGATCCACACGTCCGCTCCTCCTGGCCGCCACCCTGGCTTCCGGTCCGCTGGAGGTTCCTGGCTGCTGTGTGTGTGGTGTCCCCCATGTACCCCCAGTGCGGACCTGTGGTCTGCACCGTGTTGATGCATGATGGGAGGCCGCTCTGGGAAAATCTCCCTCCTTGTGGAGTGGCTCATGGGGGCAGGCTTCTCTCCTCGGTTAGGGCCAGACTCAGCTGGGGGGGGGGGGGTACACACGGGGAGCCTAGTGGAGTTTCCCGGCCCCCCCCCCCCCCCCAGGGAAGTACCGGGAGTTCCACCGCCTCTACGGGGAGAAGCGCTTCGTGGAGGCCGCCTCCCTCCTGCTGTCCCTGATGACGTCTCAGATCGCGCCCCGCTCCTTCTGGATGACGCTGCTAACAGATGCCCTGCCCCTTCTGGAACAGAAACAGGTAAAGGTGGCGCCTGGAGACCTGCTCCGCCTCCTGAGCCCCTTGTCTGGCCGCGCCCGTGCCCGAGCCGCTTCCTGAGTGACCAGGAGCACCCGCTGTGGGGTCCAGTGTTCACAGGAAGACAGCGACTCCCTTTGAGACGTAGCAGCTGTCACCAGCGACGCTCGCTCCAGCCCTGGAGTGAGGCTAGGAAGCTGCTCCCTCCTGGGCTCCGTCCTCGAAGCACCAGGGCCGTGCCAGGACCCGGCGTGTGCGGAAGCACCCTGGGGAGCAGCCGGGTGATGCAGCCTTTCCCCCCAGGTGATTTTCTCAGCAGAACAGACATACGAGCTGATGCGGTGCCTGGAGGACTTGACCTCAGGGAGGCCAGCGCGCGCCGAGCCTGATGCCCAGCGACTGGAGGTAATGTCCACTTCCCTCCCTGTGCCAACATGGGGGTGACTCCAGAGGAGTCATCGGAATGTCCCCCCCCCCAAGTTTTTGAGTTGGACAGTGAGAGAGACGAGGAGAAAGGTCTTCCTTCCATTGGTTCACCCCCCAAATGGCTGCTACAGCCGGCGCACTGTGCCGATCCGAAGCCGGGAGCCAAGTGCGTCTGGTCTCCCATGGGGTGCAGGGCCCAAGCACCTGGGCCATCCTCCACTGCACTCCCTGGCCACAGCAGAGAGCTGGCCTGGAAGAGGGGCAACCGGGACAGAATCCGGCACCCTGACAGGGACTAGAACCCGGTGTGCCGGCGCTGCAAGGCGGAGGATTAGCCTAGTGAGCCGCGGTGCTGGCCCGGAATGTTTGCCCTGGCGGTCCCCCGAGTGCCGGAAGCCTCATGCTGGCTCTGCTCTGTAGGAGGACGACGTGGAGACCACCAAAGTGGAGATGCTGAGACTCGCTCTGGCTCGAAACCTGGCTCGGGCCATTGTGAGAGAAGGCTCCCTGGGAGGGTCCTGAGGCCGTGTGCATGGACTTCTAAAGGAATAAATGCTTTCCTTTGCAAATACAAGGCATGTTCTTGCAGAGGCGGGCCAGGGAGTTTTTAGTCTAGGTTTCCTCTGAACCTGAGGAAAACGCTAGTTCTGTATTCTCTTCCATGTGGAACTCTCTCCCCATCTCCTCAGGGAAGACACCCCAAGTTAAGTTTCCTAAAAAGCAGTGGCGAAGAACGTCTGCCTTTGGAGGAGACACCGATGACAGCGTAGGCTGTCGTCTGTATTAGGACGTACACGTGGTGGCTACCCCGCCCTGCTTGGCCTGATGGGCGCCGGATGCGGATTCCAGGGAGGGTGGGGATGCTTTTATTGCACATGCAGCAGGGCTGACCTGTCCAGTACACGAAGCAGTGATTCACCAGTGGGGTGACACTCGTGAACAATTTAATGTCCGCTTCCGCGTGGATCTGGGTGCTCCCAGGGCTGCGGCCAGTCTCTGGGAAGCTGTGCTCGGGCAGCAGTGACACCTGCTTGCTGAAGCCGGCGAGGGGGCGCGGCAGGGGTCAGGGAGGGGGGCTCCTCACCCAGGAGGGCCTTTCCCGAGCCGCCACAGCAGCTGGGGGTTCTGTGTCCTCTCTCCTGGCCAGACGGCACTGAGGTGGCGAGCACGAGTGACCCTGCCCTCAGGAGCCCGAGCACGGTCAGTCTCGGGGCCGTGCAATGCGACCTGAGGTCTCCTGTGTCCAACCCTGGGCGCCACGGCACATGCCACTGGTGGGATGAGGGGAGGCCAAAGCAGACGCAGGTGGGAACCGTTCTCCCCTGAGAGGCTTCGCGGGGAGGGGAGCAGTTTAGTTCATGCCAAGCAAGAGGTAGTGAGTAGGATGGCCCGTGCCCGCGCAGGAGGCACGCTTCCCACACAATCGAGTTCCTGTTTCTGGGGGAGGGGTGACACCTCTAGGCTGTCCCGACACCATGTTCTCCACTACACTGGCTCTGGGTTCTGCTGTGATGTCCGTGGGACACAGCCGGCCACCACCACCAGGGACACGGTGCACGGCGCGCCACCTGGTGGCTGTCCCTGGATGCTGCTGCCCACAGGAGACCGGCCTGGAAGTCACACAGCTCCCCCTCCCAGGAGGGGGGCAGGGGAACCTGCCTGCAGGGAAGTGCCTTCACAGTCTGACCTTTGAGACCCTCCCTGGGACGGCGGGGAGGGCCGTGAAAAGGGGGAAACCTGCTCCAAACCCAGGACAGCCGTGCCCGCCCTCACGTGTATGGCCACTTCGAGTCACACAGGTAGATAAAACAGGTCCTTTAGGAGCCCCAGGAGGACAGATCAGCAGCAGCTTGGCTCCCAGCAGTGGCCCAGGGCCCCTGGTCGCGGCGACAAGCTGTCCCCAGGGTGAGCAGAGCCCAGACCAGGCCCTCCCGTCCTGGGCAGCCCGCCTGGCTTCCAAGTGGAGAAGCAGCGTCCTCTGTGGTCACAGGTTCCCCCACTGCTCCACAGGAGGGAACTGGTCGACCTCGCCCACCTCCGTGCTCAGCTGTTCCCCGAGGGTGAACATCAGCCTGTAGCGAAGCCGCACCTTCTCCTGGGACAGAGGGCACGGGTGAGCTCTCTCCCAGGGGAAGGCTTCTCCTCCGACAGTCCTGGTCCGTGGAACCCCACCCGCACTCTGCCTGACCTGGGGCGTCCCCTGCCCACCTTGAGAGGGTTGGCCAGCAGCATGACCTGGGTGATGGCTGCAGGGGGCTGGACGGGGCTGAAGGGGGAGAGCTCTGTTCCAGAGGGCGGCTGCAGCTTCACTTTCATCGACTGGGGAGTGAGAAAAGCTGGTGAGGGGAGCTGGCAGGTGCCCGCTGGAACCAGGTCGCTCCCAGTGGACACACTGCCACCTGCTGGCCGGAGGGTCTCACTGCAGGGGGTTCAGTAGAGCGGGGTACCTTGGGCACGGCAGCCTGCAGGACGATGCTCTTGACCGGCAGGGGAGCTGTGTTCAGCATGGACACCACCACCACCAGCACGTCAGGCCGTCCAGGGGGGCATTCCTTGGCAAAGTGGAAGAGGATGCGGAAGCCATTTTTATCATAGGCTGTCACGGGAAGGGCACTGCCTGCAAGAGGGCACGCGGGTGTGAAGGAAGAGCTGCAGGTGCCAGGCAGGGAGGGGCCACACCGGCCCCCGCAGACGGCTCGGTCTGCCAACCTCCACAGGAGCGCCTGCACACCCCCCACTCCCTCCCCGGCTCGAGCCCCAGCACCTACTAGGCTTGATGGATTCCAGGGGCACATGGACGCTGGCCAGGGAGAGCTCGGGCACTTTCACAGGGCTGCCTGGCCCCGTGGAGAAAGGCGGGAGCGGCCTGGCTGGAGTGCTGGTGGGGACCGGAGCGGGGGCAGCAGCCTTGGAGGGAAAGCAGGAACTGGGTTTCACCAGGCCCGAGGTCCTGGGAGACAAAGGGCAAGGAGGTGAGAGCAGCCGCGGCCTCACCACACGGGCCGTCCAGCCTGGCCTCTGGTTCTGCTGTAAGCAGACCCGACCTTCAGCACCCCCACCTCTTCTCCCATTCATTTTACACTTTGGCCTCCTCCAACAGCTGATCGAGGGCATCCAGGTGGTGCAGGGCGCTGTCCCGGGGAGCTACGCCTTGGTACTCGGGGGCTTGGGGCTCAGCCTTTAGAGCCAAAGCTGGGTCCAGTCCAGTAGCGAATAAGAAGGAGCCTGCGCTGGGGGTAGGAGCGCGGGCCGGGACCACAGGAGCTGGGAAGGGAGAGCTGGCGGTGGGGACCGAGGGCTGGAGCAGCGGCCCCTCGGGGGAGCAGCAGGCGCCAGTGGCCGGCCGAGGGCTGAAGAAGTCCAGGTCGCACCGTTCACTCTGTGGGCAAGGGAAAAGGGCTGGAGGGCCAGCGGCAGGGGCCCAGCTCCCCTCCCCAGCCCTGCCAGTCCTCCAGCGCCAAGGCCAGAGAGGCCCCTGGGGCCACCACGTTCCCAGTCAAGGAGGTGCTGGAGGGCGGAGCCAGCACAGCCTCTGGCTGACTGCAGCAGGGACGGGTTGGGAGGAGGACGCCGGGCGTGGGGGTGCTCGAGCCCTCAGGGAGGTCCCTGTGGCTTCCCTACCTGGAACAGGTGCCACTGGCTTCTCCCAGCTGACTCTCTGGGAGGCACACTGGGCGCTGGGTCAGCGAGGCCTGAGGACAGAAGGAAGTGCTGCCAGAGGCGGCTCTGGGTTCGGGCGGCCCCAGACCTCATCTGGCTAAGGAAGGGTCACGTGACCCCACCGGGTAAAGGCGTGGAGAGGCGTCCAGGCAGCCACCGGAAGGGACAGGATCGCTTTCAGTCATCACTGGAGGGTCAGAGGGTCAGGGGGTCCCCAGGAGAGGCAGCAGAGCATCACAGTCCATGGCCTGAGAAGACTGCCCTGTGGCCTTCAGGGACACTGACTGTGACTGCCCCTGCCCCGCCTCCCACCCCCGAGCCCCGCGGGCAGCTCTGGCCTGTGCCGGGATCCAGAGGGACCTACCCAGGCAGAGCAGCTCCTCGTCCAGCAACGAGAGGGCATTGCTGGTGCTGCTGGGCCCCGAGGGGGCCTCGGCATGGCTGGAGGAGCGGCTCCGCAGGGGCGCCGAGGTCTGGGGGGGCGGAGGGAGGACGGGGATATCCAAGGAGGGCGGGGCAGGTGCCAGGGCTGGTGCTGGGGAGGCACTGTTTGGTGTCTCCAACTCAGCGAGGTCGATGAGTGTGCCTTGGTTGCTGGAGAGGCTGTTTCCTGACGAGGCAAGGGTGGGAGGACAGGCAGGAATGACCGGTCAGACCTGGAGGCGGAAGCTAGGGCTCCAACTGCGGGCCTGAGCCAGGGCACGCTAAGGGCAGGCAGGACATGCGCACTGTGTCTCCTGGGCTCAAGCTGGCGGAGAGCCCTCAGGCCCCGCAGGAATGCACACGGACCCCCGCACCTACAGCTCTCGGCAGGGAGTGGGGGCTCAGGACGGGAGCCGGACAGGTACCTTCGCTGTCAGGCAGGGTTGAGACGGCCACCTCCCCGTTGATGGCCTGTCCCTCCATAACTCTTTTGTAAGAGCTGATGACGCGGGAGAGGTTGTCACTGGCCTGCAGGATGTCGCCTAGAGTGGACGAGAGAGACTCCTGACTCCCGGCTGTGACGACAGAACTCCTAGTCCTGCTGACTCTGCTTCCCACTCACCCAGGCTGTTGTCGTTGTCCTCTGTCTCGCTGGCCAGTTTAAACAACGTGCGCCTCTTGTTCTCACACCGATCGAACAGCTCCTGGAAGAGACCAGACGTCCACATCCCAGAGGCCCGCGGCCGTCACCGGGTCGGTGCTCACGCCCAGCAAGCGAGGGGCGTCCCCAGGTGCCAGGGTCAGTCACTGCCAGCGCTGGGACCACAGCACAGGCCCGGTGCCAGCTGCTAGCACACCATGTCCCCAAGGCATCGGCACAGCCGCAAGGGCCTCCGGGCTGGCTTGGCCACCGCGTCAGGGGCCTGGGGAAGCTCCGACGGACGGCCCGAGGCCGTCAGGACAGTTGGCGGGGAGTGCGGGGGCGGGCGGGGCCCGGCCGGGGCCGACCTTCATGAGCTCCCGGTCGCCGTCCGAGGAGTCCTCGTGGCTGTAGTGCAGCAGCATCTCCTGCAGCAGCTTCACGTTGTTGCTCACCTCCTCCAGGGCGTGCAGGCGCTCCGTGGCCTTCCGCACCCGCGCCTCGTCCTGCGCACGGAGACCCAGAGCGCGCTCAGGGGGCCGCCTCCCTGCCCCCTGATGGGCCCGAGGCCTCGCCAGCTGCTTCCTGGGGCCACAGGCCTCAAGCCTAACGCAGTTAGCAGCCCCAGCCCCCCACTGCACGCCCGGGAGCTCGGTCCCTCCAGGTGAGGGCTGGCGGCAGGAGAACGAGGCGGGCCTCACGTCTGGGGGACTGTCCCCGGGCCCCGGGCGCACTCACTTCCTTCACCATGGACTTGATGAGCTTGTTGGCCTCTTGCAGGTCATCTGGATTTTTGCTTCTCAGTAGCTTGGCTAAGAGCTGGAAGAGGGAGATTAAAGGTGAAGACAGGT